CCTGCTGAATTAGCATCACAGTCCAAAGTGGATAGGCTGACATCTGGTTCTGAAAATGTAGCAGCAGAGTCGAATTTATTGAATAGCCATGGAGACTTTGACCCTACTCTGTTGGGAGGCTTGCCTTCTAGTAGTATGTCTGAGATGGATGTTACGATGTCTGACTCATCAAAAAGTGGTGGATTTGGTGAAAATCAACCCAAATCTCAGCATCCACAGATTGACTCATTTATTCAGGAGAAGCATACTAATCCTCATCGAAGTATAGGTGATGCACTTGAATATCAGAGAGAAAGAATTAATGTATCTGGTGATTTTCAAGATGATAACAATGAGAAGCAGAGTGAGATGGAAGATGAGAATGCTGATGAGTATGCCTATGTTTCTGAATTTGATAAAGGCACAACTCAGGCTCTGGGGCCTGCAACCCTGGACCAGGTAAATAGAAACATTGATGGTGATAAGCTTGATAAAGAATGTCTTGCTGGAGAAGATGCAAAGAGTCAGTTTGAGAAAGAAAAAACAGAAATGAATTCTTTAAATAATTCTTCATTAATCCCTAAAAATGAAAAAAAGGAGCAAGTGAATATGTCAGGCATGGAGAAGTTGCAAGATGATGGATCAGTGAATCGGTTTGCTAATGTGAACATTGATTTTGAAAACCGTTTGGAAGATTTGGTTTCTTTCGGAAGTTCACACATGATTGATAGCACAGATAGTCTGTGTCAGCTTTCTCTGCATGATAAAGACTTGGGTAAAGTACAAGATCCTTGTGATGTTCCTGACCACGTGAAAGATAATGCTAGTCTTTTGTGGAGAAGGTTTGAATTTAGCACAACAAAATTGGCTTTTGAATTGGCTGAGCAATTGCGCCTTATAATTGAGCCCACTGTAGCCAGCAAGCTCCAAGGAGATTATAGAACTGGCAAAAGGATAAATATGAAAAAGGTAGATGATTTATTTTTTATGTAAAGGTAACATTTGTTGATGAGACTATGGTGTTTAACTTTACAATTTTTTTTCTTAAAAACTTTCAGGTAATTCCTTACATAGCAAGTGATTATAGTAAAGATAGAATATGGCTTCGGCGGACCAGACCCAACAAACGTGATTATCAAGTTGTTATAGCCATTGATGATTCACGTAGTATGTCAGAGAGTTGCTGCGGTGATGTTGCTATCGAAGCTTTGGTCACAGTGTGTCGTGCCGTCTCTCAATTGGAAATGGGCAGTTTGGCAGTTGCTAGTTTTGGGACAAAGGGAAATATCAAGTTACTGCATGACTTTGACAGACCATTTACTGGAGAGGCTGGTGTTAAAGTAAGTGGAATTAACCGTTTAACTTGTAATTTTTTATTGATGTCATTTATATTTGTTGAATGTCTTTGAGAAGATCTAACTGTTTGTTTTGGTTGAGGAACAGATGGTCTCCAATTTGACATTTGAGCAAGAAAATACCATCACTGATGAACCGGTTGTTGATCTATTGAAGTACTTAACTAACAAGTTAGATAGTGCAGTTGTAAAAGCACGGCTTCCATCTGGACATAACCCTCTACAGCAATTAGTTTTAATAATTGCAGATGGTCGGTTTCATGAAAAGGTACTTGATGAGAAAAATAATTTTCTTTTTATTGGTCTTTACTTGACCTATTTGTTCACTCATCTTCAATTTTGATTTTTCAGAAAAATTTGAAGCGATATGTTAGAGATGTGTCAACCGGTAATCGAATGGTTGCTTTCTTGCTTCTGGATAATTCTGAGGAGTCAATTATGAGTCTTGAGGTATTTTAACATTTATGCTCAAATATTTTTTTAATTATGAGGATTATAGGTAATTTCTCTTCTCTCTTACATTACATTCTGGACTGCAGGAAGTTTATTTTGAGAGTGGAAAACCAAAAATTTCCAAGTACATGGATTCTTTTCCCTTTCCTTACTATATTGTTCTGAGAAACATTGAAGCACTGCCTAGGACTCTTGCAAACTTATTGAGACAGGTTAGTTTGAATTTCTTCTCTCTTTATGAAATATAAATAAAATAAACATCTTTGTAAACAAAATGAGTTATATTTTGTTGTGTTCATTTCAGTGGATGGAGCTTATGCAGCATTCAAGTGGTTGAGGACTTTTATTGAGCAGCTTCTACTTTGAGGATCATTTTAGGGGAGATGGTCTATTCCTTATTTTGTTTGTAGAAGGACCTATATGTATAAGTTTTGTACAGTTCTAAAATGTATAGATGCTACTTATTTGACTAATTAAAAATATCATGTTAGCTGTATAAATTGTGTAGTAATCTTTCATCAGTGTCTTTAAACAATGTTTACAAGATCATTTTGTGAGATTGGTTTTGGTTAAATGTAATTTTATAGTGATAGAAATAAACATAACAACATAAAGAATAAACTTCTATTTGGTATATCAAACATGTTTTTAAGCATTATGAGAAGAAATGATAAAAAAAATATATTAGAAGAATACAGTCATTGGTAGTATCTGTTTTTACAATTTTTTTAAAATAACAAATAATATTTGTAATATGTAATTCAAGTTTAATAATTAAATATAAAATACTCTAAAATACAAACACTTGAAAAGTATTTATAAGAATATTTAAAAAATTTAATTGATATAATTTTTTAAATATTTTAATTACATAAAGTGATTAAAAATTAAAAATTCCATTTGAATTCGTAACTAGATAGAACGTTTATTTTTAATTTGTTGAAATTTAGTGAGAACTATATTGTGCAGATTTTATTTATCGAGTTTTTAATATTAATTTTTAATAATGATAATAATAATAATAAATAATGCACTAAAGGGTGATGTTATAGATAATATGCTACTACTTCAACAAAAGACAAATATAGGAAGGTCAAGTTAGAAGAATTCTATAGTTTATGTTAAATCAACATGATCATATAATACTGATTTAGAATCACAACTAACAAATTGTAGATAATATGCTACTACTTCAACAAAAGACAAATATAGGAATGACATTTATGTCTATTAAAGGAAGGTCAAGTTAGAAGAATTCTATAGTTTGTTAAATCAACATGATCATATAATACTGATTTAGAATCACAACTAACAAATTGTATAATTTATGATAAATTAATACAATTATAACATATTGATTTAGAATCATAACTAGCAAAATTGAACAAAATTTTTTTTTAACTAGTCAAGAAACATGTTATTGACTTGCTCTTCTATGAGTTATTTTTTTGTTGGATCTAAGCTTGATCACATATAATATTAATCGAGTTAAGCTTTGTTTGGTGGGTTGAACCATCATCATCTTGGTACAAAATTTTACTAGGAGAGGCTTCTCTAATCTTTACTTGTAATATTGGGCTAATCTTATAGGCTAACCAAAAAAGTGTTTCTTAAGTAGTGGAATGTAGAGTACACCGCTAAGCCAATAACAATTCCAATAATTCCTAAGTCGTTTACTCTTAATCCTCCCCAATTTTTTCTTCAATTCAACTAGGATGACCTTGTTGGCACCTTCAGCTTAGTCATTTGTTTGAGGATGTTTAATAGACAAAACTCGATGTTGGATCTGGAGTCCTTCAAAAAACTTGTTGAGTTGTTTATTCATGAACTGTCTACCATTGTCGACCATAATAATTTTTAGGATGACCTTGGGCTATTTTAGAGTTTGTTGGACTATAATCTTGTGTTGATCGGATTGCCAAGTACTTGCCAACTTTGAGAGGACATTAACCTTAGTATTCTCTTCTCGAGGCATGTGCTCAATCCAAAATTTCACAAAGTTACCCTTCAATTTATCAGCCACATAATAATATTTTAAAATTTGAGTATCCTTGGTATGATACTCACCTCTCAATTTCCCTTCAACTAGATGTGAATTGCTCTTGCATAAAAAGTGTTCGATCTTCATCTCCAAAGCCAATCTGATACTCGTAATAGGCTTCATACCTAGCTAGATTGTTTGAGGTTTGGAATCTGAACTAAAAGGATTGCTCAATAACTAAGTCCCTTGGTCCCTCCAACAGGGGGGAGCCAGAATAGGAGAACACTCATCTTGGGGGTGGGTTTACTACTTAGATGCTTTCAGCAGTTATCCGCTCCCCACTTGGCTACCTAGCATTTATTGTGGGCAAGATAACTAGCACACCAAAGGTGCATCCTTCCTAGTCCTCTCGTACTAAGGAAAGGTCCTCTCAATGCTCTAAGCCCACACCGGATATGGACCGAATTGTCTCACGATGTTCTGAACCCAGACCGAATTGTCTCACGATGTTCTGAACCCAACTCACGTACCACTTTAATGGACGAACAACCCAACCCTTAGAACATACTACAACCCCAGGTAGCGAAGAGCCAACATCGAGGTGCCAAACCTTCCCATCGATGAGAGCTCTTGGGAAAGATCAACCTGTTATCTCTAGAGTAACTTTTATCCGTTGAACGACGACTCTTCTGTTGGGGAGTTTTTAATATCGGGAAGCACTTTACTCAACATGCCCAACTCTAACTAATGTGGGACTTTACTTCACACTTGAACTTCAACACTCCCCCTCAAGTGTGAATCCTTTCCACATGGTCACGCTCCCCCTCAAGCGGAAGCTTTTCTTTCATCCACGAGTATTCAATGGTTGCCTTACTTGCACTATGCACTTCAACGACACACGTCCTCCACACCTCTAGGGAGACTTTCAGTACAAGGGATGATCTTACTCTTGGATCTCCTGCCAATTCCATTTAGGATCCCACTCCACTCTTGGATCCAGCTATTACTCGTCTGAGCCGATCACCAGTCACTTAGTCAAACCATTGGTTCTGATACCAATGTTTGGGGAGTTTAGAACACTAGGGAGCATTCCACACAATGATACCACAACATAACCTAAAACCTTAAGGCATTAGGAGGTGGGTCTTTCTCACTTATATATTACTCAACATGCCCAACTCTAACCAATGTGAGACTTTACTTCACACTTGAACTCCAACATCTTCCACTTGGCACCGTCGAATCACTAAGGTCGACTTTCGTCCCTGCTCAATAGGTGGGTCTTGCAATCAAGCTCCCTTTTGCCTTTGCACTCGATGGCCAATCTCCTCTGGCTTGAGACTCCACTACCTTTTTTACTAGATGAACCATCAACAAACAATGTCCATACCTACTCCTATAAGGGTCTAGTGGTCATTTCGTTGTTAGAAAAAGATGGCTAAATTTAAAATGGGGGTGAATTGGATTTTTCAAAATTTAATCAGAGTTATGGATCTTTATTTGAAAATTTTTTCTAAAACACTTTTCAATTGAAGTATATTGAGTTCTTGTTATATGGGATATGCTCCTATATACTCTTTTAAGTTTTCTTTAATCTTTAGAACCTTAACATTGAATGATGCATAGATTACATTTCAATTAACACATTGATCATATAAAAAATACAAATCATATGCAATTAGTTTTAAGCAGGTTAAGATATCATTTAAAGATTACACAAGTAAAAAGAGTAAGGATAAGAAAGAGTGCAAGGAGATTTATTTTAGTTCAGCCACTCCACATGTGGCTTACATCCAGTCCTCAATCAAAACTTGATCAAGATTTGTCTACTATCTTTATGTAAGAAGGTTTACAATCACAAAACACACGCAACCTACTTCTACATACAAGATACCACTTTTACCATTTTTATACTGAAACAAGTAAGGAACGAATTCACCTGTATGTTGAATTAATCAGAACGTGAATTGAAGACAAATCTTTATCCTATTCTTTCAATATTGTAGTGATGATGATGAGATCTTCAAAAAGTTTTACAAAATGTTTTTACTTCTTGGTTTCACAAAGAAAACACTCCAAGTAAATCACAGAGATTCAAAGTTTCACAAAGTTCACTCGCAATATCACTTGCATAAGTTTCTAAATGAGAAAACCTGTTTTATAAAATTCTCAAGCTTAGATAATCGATTATTTATAATGATAATCGATTATTTTGTTCAGAGTAATTCTAGAAATCACTCAAGAACAAAATAATCGATTATTTCATAGGATAATCAATTATTGCAGATAGTGCTTTTTTGGGATAATCGATTATTTCTATAGATAATCGATTATTTCAACAATGCTTTTCAAGGTATTGAAAAATAGAGTAAATAACTGACTATTGTAAGTGAATAATTGATTATTTTGAGTAATATCTCAAAATTCATTTAAACATCCAAAAACCTGCTGAAGTTATATTCCATCATCATCATACTACTTTCAAGTCAATTAGGATAAAGATAAACCCTTGCATAAAGCACAAACTAAAATAAACATGCACAAAGATAAACACAAAGCAATTACAACACATAAACTACATTATTAAAACTTTTCACTTTAAACACTTTATGATCTTCATGCTTCCCCTTTGTAATCATCAACACTTACATAAATTGATTCAACAGCTTGTGAATCTCAATAGAAGTCAGCCAAGCATTGTGCTTGTATTGGTTCTCTTGGTTGGTATGTGAAACCAAACTTTTTGATAGCTCCACCAGCCAAGCGATCATTCTTCCTACAAACTTTGGATTTCTAAGGATTTTTACTATAGGGTAGTTAGTCTTGACGACTACTTGGTGACTTAAGAGATGTGACCTTAATCTTCTTTTCGCAATTACCAAATCCAAAGCTAAAATCTATAACCTCTAATACTTTTGCTCAATGACCTACAATACTTGACTAATATAGTATATGGGAACCTATCCCCCTCTTTCTCTTGGGAAATGACAACATTGGTTGACTCATCTCAAGCAGACAAGTAGAATAGAAAAGGGAATTTTTAGCTAGGCTTTGCCAAGATTGGAGGTTGTCAATAGGTTTTCCTTCAATCCTTGGAAAGAAACCTCACCCTCCGATGTTCAGTCAAATGCTTTTTTCTTTCTCAAAAAATTAAACACGAACATCACCTTATCAACCAAGCACAACAAGAAACAAGAAAAGGAAACTAGCATGTCAGTTAGTCATTGAACTTAATTTAAATTGGTCGGACTCTTCATGTCAATGATTGCTCGACACTTGTCAAGGTTGACTTCAATACCCCTTGCATGTAACATAAAGCCTAGAAACTTGCCACCAAGCATATATTATGTTTTCTTACCTCTAAGAGCACATCGACAAGATCGTCCATGTATTCGACCATACTATTTGACTTGACCACCATATCATCAACATATACCACCAAATTCTTTCCAATTTTCTTCTACAAGACTTTATCCATTAGTCGCTAGTAAGTGGTGCCAACATTCTTAAGCCCGAATGACATCACATGATAGTAAAATTTAGCCTCCTTGGTTATGAAGGCAATCTTCACCTTGTCTGGAAGGTACATAAGGATCTAATTATATCTTGAGTATGCATCCACAAGTTTGTCGATGCTTGGTAAGGGATAAGTATCCTTAGGGTAAACCTTATTGAAGTCGATGTAGTTAACACACATCCTTCACTTGCTATTACTTTTCTTGATCAAAACTACATTGGCAAGCCAAGTGGTATAATGTACCTCCTATATAAAACTAGCTTTTAATAGTGTAGACACCTCAACCTTCACAACTACTTCTTTCCTCACTCATTTTCCTTTTCTTCCGAGCTACTAGTCGAGCTTCACAATAGATTGATAGGTAATATGGAAATGAAAGGATGGATCAATGCTCGACATGTTGGATGCTGACCATGCAAATAGGTTGATGTTCTCCTTTAAAATATTGATCAACAAAGCCTTTGTCTTCCAATTCAAGTTGTGTACCTATGCTAGTATATATATTGTCCTTTTGTACCTAATTGAAACTTCTCATTCTCCTCAACTGGTTTTAACCGAGCTTCATCATTTACTCTTGGGTTTAGCTCCACCAAGTTTACTTGCTTTTTACTTGCCGAGGGTAAGGGTTCATCAACTATGGTAAGTTGGTTGTTAGCCTCAACTTGACTAATTAGGGGTGCTATTTTTAAACTGGTCATGTAACATTCTCATGCTATCTTCTGGTCAGCATGAATGGTCACAATCCTTCTAGTCAAGGAGGGGAACTTCATTGTTAGGTGTGACGTTGAAACTATAACACCCAACTCATTAAGAAAGGATTGCCCTAGCAAAGCATTGTAGGAGGTGTTAGTGTTAACTAATATGTAGCTTATGTTGATTGTCCTCCTCCTCCTCTCTCCATCATCAAAGGTAGTAAGTAAATCAACATAGTCTCTCGTGTCAACTCGCTCTCCCAAGAAGCTGACGAGTTGATCATTATATGGTTTGAAGTTTGACTTAAGGATTTGCAATTGTTGAAAGATGGACATATACAAGATGTTTATTAACAAAATAAAATGGGATTAGAAAAATAAAATCATATTTAGAATCTAACTATTACTTACTAAGAAAGATAAAACTTGATCTCATCATTAATATCTTATTATATCTTTCATTAAAGTCGTCATCTAAGTTAATTATTCAAATTATAATATGTTTAAACATGTTTATTTTACCGTTGTTTCTTGAAAAAAGAAAGACAAACGAATAAAAATAATAAAATTTAAAATTTGCAAGGCTGGCAATTACTATCATTTAAAATAAATGATAGTAAGGTATATATTTCTAAAGAATTGATATATATACCTTACTATCATTTACCTTATTATTAAAATATTCATTTATATAAATTATATCGAGTTTTATCAGTGCGTAAAAAAATAATTAAAATATCATCATGATTTAATTGAGAGAAATTGACGCAAGGCTGGCAATTTGTTTTAAAAAATATCAAAAATAATATTTTTGAAAACATTCCAGAAATGGATATCATCATTATCTTATTTTCTTGGGAAATATTTTTTATTGTTGATGAAAAATTATTTTTCAAAATATATATAATAATAATAATAGTAAAAAGTAAAAAAATTTAAAATTGATAATAAATTATTCATACAAAAACAAGTAAAATAATAACATTGCAATAATATAAGATTAATTAAAGATAATAAGAGATTTAATTTGACTAGAGCATAAAGTCGGAATTGAGATAAAACTTTATTTTTATAGGAAACGGTATGGTGGAAATATATGTTATATTATACTTTTTTACTAAATAAATAGTGATAAAACTCATTAAAGGAAATTATTTTCAATTAGCAATAATAAGGTAGTATTATACTTTTCTCCTCCATTTTCTAGTTTTTTGTTTTGGAATTACTCATAAACAAAATTTCACTTTGTAATATTCAGGTTATATTATAGTTTCCCCTTTTTGGAAAAATCAGATTTTGTCAAACGTATTACTTTATTTTTCCTGTCTTTTGAAACAATATATAATTATGCAGTTGCTTTGTGGATCAACGTGATGTGTTGTTTCTTGCTTGCTGGTTGTGCCATTTGTAAGAGAATCGGAATAAAAATGGGTTTCGAACAAGTTCCCGTGGGTTAATTAGCATTCAATTAGAGGCTCTTTTATTTGAAACCTACGTGCATATATAAATGCTTTTCGAAGATGTTCATTATATATACGACAATCATAATTATATATAGGGCCGACTAATTATAATAATCAATAATGGATCATTTTTTTTTCAATTGACTTTTCTGGTGAATGACATACCGGTGGTTTCCATGAGCGTTCGTTTCGGAGGCGTTGGATGAACTTGACAAAAACTTGTATATGGACTTGTCTTTGCTTCAGAAGCACGCACATATTTATTGGCATCACTAGTACTTGACTTCCAACAAGATTTGAAGAATGGATAGAAGGGCACTACCAACAAGCTTAAGCATGTTCACACGGCAGAATAGAAGGCATAATTGGATGGAAGAGAAGCGAGGATCCCTTATGGTGGTAGCCACAGTTATAACAACCATGACTTTCCAAATTGCCATAAACCCTCCAGGGGGTGTTTGGCAATCAAACGCAGACAGCGACCAAGATTGTGCTACTGGTAATAAAACGTGTCATGCTGCAGGTACATCGGTGTTTGCCTCTGCAGCTAACCATGACCTTAAACTTGGATACGAGATATTCATACTGTTATGTACCGTTTCTTTCTCTGCCTCTCTCACCACAATCCTGTCACTCATTTGTGGAATTCCCCTCCGTAACAAGTGCCTCGCGTGGTTGCTCATAATATTTATGTGCATCTCAGTAATTTGCACTGCAGGAGCATATGCTATTTGTATTTGGTTGGTATTGAACCCAGGTAATGATGGAACAATTAATCAAATCACCCGTTACTACGCACTCTTTTGGGGTGGCTTATCTCTTTTGCTCTGTCTTGTGTTCTTCTGCCGCTTTGTCTTTTGGTTGCTCAAGTTCTTCTTCCGCCTTTTCTGTTGCTGCTGCTCATGTGTTCAGGATTCCACTCAAGAATTTATCGTTACCAATTAATTAAGTGTACCCATGAACTTGCTGATTAATTTATACTTATCAATGATCGTGTATCTAAGTTTAGGGATTAATGGAGTGTTTGTCTGTTCTTTTTTTAACAAAAAAATTGTAGAATGATCATACCATATATATATATAAGATCTATAACTCCATGTATACTATATCTTCCCGTGGGTTAATTAGCATTCAATTAGAGGCTCTTTTATTTGAAACCTACGTGCATATATAAATGCGTTTCGAAGATGTTAATTATATGATTTTAAGTTTGACTTAAGGATTTGCAGTTGCTGAAAGGTGGATATATACAAGATGTTTATTAACAAAATAAAACAAGACTGGAAAAATAAGATAATATTTAAAGTTTAATTATTATTTATTAAAAAAGATAAAACTTGATCAGATCATTAATATTTTATTATATCTTTCGTTAAAGTCGTCATCTGAGTTAATTATTCACAATTATAATAAGTTTAAACATGTTTATTTTGCCTATTTCTTAAAAAAAGAAAGACAAACGAATAGAATTAATAAAATTTAAAATTTACAAAATTTCATTGAAAAATGAAAATAACGAAGGTAGAAAGAAAATGAGAATTTATTTATGAAATAAGAGACTAAATTTTTTTTTCTTCATATGATAGTAAAACACTATAAAAGTAGTTAGTCTCAATAAATTAAATTTAATATTTTAAATAAAATTTCAAATTTACGTCTTATCAATAAATAAAATATAATTAAAAGAAAGAAAGCTCAAGTTAAAATTACATTGCATCATATATGTCTAAGCAACATGAGACACAATCAAATGATAATAGTAAAAACAATAATTTTTGGATGTCCTTCGACCATAACATTTTTTTTTCTTTTTCAAGTCACATCGCTTATTATACACATTTTCTCACTCTCTTTACTTTTCGCTCTCTCACAATTATTCTAGACTAATAGTATCTTGGGTGTCCAATTATATTTTCCAAATTACAAACCATGCAAACCCAATTTTCCTCCTTGTCACATGCAATGCAAACCCATTCCATGTATTAGAGCACCTCCAGCGGAGGGTGCTTGTGTTGTTTCTTAAAATTAAGCAACGGAGCTTATAAGCATTTGTCTAAAACTACTATTGCGGAAAGTCCTTTCTGAAATTATGGTAACAAATACACACACTGTTAATATTCCGGAAAGAATTTTTTGCAATAATAATTCTAGTGTTACGGAAAGTATTTTCCATAATTATTTTGACGGAAATTTATTTCCAGAATAGTAATTTTAGTATTCTGGAAAGTATTTTTCGTAATTATTCTGAAGGAAAGTTCTTTTCGGAAGGCTCATGATATATACACCTCCTGTTTTTTTTATAAGTACACCTTTTATTTTTTAAAAAAAATTATAAAATATTATATATATATATATATTCTTTAATTTTATACCTTTAACTTTCAATTTTCTACTTTTTTCTTTTTTTTCACACACTTTTTTTTTGTTCTCTTTCAATTTTTACATGCTACCAAAATAGGTGGGGTGAAGGAAAGATAACGGGGTGCATGTAAAAATTGAAAAAAGAAAAAAAGAAGAAAAAAGAAAGATTCCAAAATTCGCTTTGAGAAATACGCCTCCACGCCCCGCCACCGGCGCCGGCGCGTGTAGCTCACACGCCCAGCTCCGGCGAGACCCACTCGCTGCCGTCGTAACAGAAAGAGTCTCCAGAGCCTCCTGAGTCCATTCCATGGGTTGGTGACGTCCCATTTGGCGCAGATTCTAGTAGATATGAGTTTTTTGAGTTTTTGCTCCTTTTCCGGTGTAGCCCACTCATCGTTGTTGCCATAGACAGAGTCGCCAAATCAATCCATTAAGTTACCACCATTAGATTTTTGAGATGAAAGCTTTTAAAGAGGAACTAGATCATTTGAAAGCAATGATTGAATCAATAAGTAGGCCCTCTGGACCATGTACTTTGTCCATGAAAGGTAAGAGTTCTCTCCATACTGTGGGTCCTGTGTCTCAAGGTATTTGGATTCTTGATTTAGGAGAAACTGATCATATGACACCTTTTCGTATGATCTTCAAATCATATATTAAAAGGAATAGAGAACAACTTATTATAGTTGCGAATGGTCAAGGTGTACCCATATGCGGCTCTGGGAATATAATTTTGGAATCATCTATTGTATTAAAGGATGTTTTACATGTTCCACAGTTAGCCAATAATCTTATCTCTGTGCAAAAGCTCACAAAAGATTTAAATTGTTCAGTAACATTTTTCTCGACTCATTGTGTTTTTCAGGACCTTGCTACGGGGAAGACGATTTTAACTGCCAAAGAGTAGAGTGGTTGTATCTGTTGGAATCTAATCACCAAAACACAGCAAAAATCATGAGTCAACAAGCTACATCCAAGACATGGGCAAATTCTCAAATATGGCTACATCATAAAAGGCTTGGGCATCCTTCATTCAACCTTCTTAAGTCCTTATTTCCTCATTTGTTTACTAAGGAGTCTGGTGAGTCTTTTAATTGTGATATTTTTCAATTGTCAAAACACCATCGTGCATCCTATCCTATTAGTAATAAAAAGAGTACTTCTCCATTTGATTTAATTCACTATGATGTTTGGGGACCTGTCGTAGAATCTATTTCCGGAGCTAAATGGTTCATTACCTTTATTGACGATTGTACCCGTGTCACATGGACATATCTTATGAAAAATAAATCAGAAGTTTTCCAAATCTTTGTTAATTTTTTCCGTTTGGTCCAAAATCAATTTGGAAAAATATCAAAAGACTCAGGTCTGATAATGTTACTGAATATGTGAATCATGAATTTCTCAATTTTTTGTCTCATAATGGTATTGTTCATGAACTAACATGTGTAAACACCCCTCAACAAAACGGGGTTGTAGAAAGAAAGAATCGTCATCTTCTAGAAGTAACTAAAGCTCTTCTTTTTCAAATGTCTGTTCCAAAAAATTACTGGGGAGAAACTGTGTTAACTGCCACATATCTCATCAACAGGTTACCCACCCGTATCTTAAATGGAATTAGTCCTATAGAGTCTCTATTGTCTTTTGTTCCCTCTTGCCCCCTAATATCGAGTTTACCTAGTCAAGTCTTTGGATGTACTATTTTTGTTCACTCTCATCATCCTAATTGTAGTAAATTAGATCCAGACCCATTTAAAGTGGTTGGGAGTTGCTTATAAGCAACTTCCATTGTAGATGCTCTTAGGAAACTAAAAGTTGGTTATCTCACAGGACCATGTCAGCAACATGACAAAAGCACTCCAACGTCATGGATGATGTTGTGAATATAAACATGATATATCAAGCACTCTCATCCATTCATTTCGTAAAATCCTTTACTATTATCATGTCTTCAGGCTTATGCTCCATCTTAGCCACATTTTCCCATTCTAATTCTAAAAATTTGACTTCAATTGATGCATAAGTTTCACTAAAAAACAATCCAATTCGCATTCTTTCTCTAATGAATCAAGTTACGACAAAATGATTAAGAGAAATTATTGAAAAATTGATGCATAAGTTTCACTAACTTTTCAACTTCTTTTATTTTAGTATTCATATATCATTTGTATTGTTTATGTACTTAAAAAAAAATATTGCCTCCAATTATTATTATTATTGTTTAAAATACTATTTTAATATTATAAAAAATTGTTCTGTAACTTTTGTTCACCCATAATCCCTTATCAATTTTTATATCGAGAATTATTATGTTGAATAAAATAAAAAGTTATTATTCATGTAAAAAAAAATATAACTCCTTTGTTAATCTTCATTCCTTTTTTATTCAAAAGTTTATTATCAGGTAGTATATTTAAAATTATAATTTTATATCATTTATTTTATTTATATTTTAATAGGAAATTAAGTATTTTTATTTACTCATTTTATTTTTATGGTTTAAAAATATTGTATTTTATGAAAAATATATTAATTATAATTATAATGGTTAAATGCTTGTTTAATTTATATATAGAAAAAGAATTTTAATAGTATTAAAAATGAAGAGTTAGTCAATTATAAACTAGTTGAAAATTTATATTGTATTATATTTTAAATGTTTTAAATTATGATAAATATTCTTTTCACTACTTAAAATTTTTAGATAGAATAATTTTTTCTCATAAAAATTAAGATTAAAATAAAGTATAATATTAACCACTTATCTCTTTGAATATAGAAGTTGAAAAGATAGAATTAAGCATGTATGATGTTTGGGAGGGGAATCATACTCCATCTTTTGTACTCCACATCATTAATTTTCCATATTTTTTCCTCCACATCATACATATAAACTGTCCTATAAAGAATATATATAAATTTCCCTAGCATGAGAAGAGCGAAAAATAAAATAAAGTAAAAATGGTAAGTTGGGGCCACAACATCTAGATTGATAAAATTATGTAATACTAATAAAGATAGTATATTGCAATAACTGAGATTAGATAGGAAAGTGTTATAGTAAATGGTGTATATATAGGTAGAGGTAGTTGAATCATGCTACTGTTAAGTGTAGTGGTGTGTCGAACACTCAGTCTACAGAACTTGCAGATAACGGAACTCTTTTCAAATTCGTATAACTATGTACTTTTTTTTCACTACTCATGACAATTTTAATAGCTTTTCCCCTGGTTATGGAAGCATTATTCTTTAACGAATTTTTTAAGATTTTTTTGGCCATTCTAAATTAAAAGAAAATAAAAATACTAAAACTAAAATTTTAAAAACTATTTATTAAAATAAATAGTTTGTGCGTACACTACAAGAATAATATTGTCATATAGTGACACACACCCTATAATAGGCTGATTGACCAATTTAGGGTACTTTTCAAAATTATTTACGTAAATAGGGCTGTTTTGAAACTATTTACACCTTTGAGACATTTTACTATGGTGTCGCTATGGGGCATAGCGACACCAGTGACATGTGGATTTTTTTTTTTGGTAATTACGAATGACTAAAATTTAGCCAGTAAAAGTCACTATAGGTTGTAGCAATTTTTGCAAAGTCGCTATAGATTACATTCTCATTTAAAAAATATAATTAATATATATTTTTATTATTAAAATAATATTTTATCTAGAGGCGCTATGGGCCATAGTGACACAATGTCGCTATGGGCTATAGCGATACCACTTTATTTTATTTATTTAT